TACTCTCTAGGGGCCTTGGCCTGAGAATAGTAGAGAAGTTTTGTTGGGAAGTTAGATTAAAGCTTTTTAGTTAGAGTGGGCAATGGTGTAAGTGGAAATATAAATCTAACATCTTTTGATTTCTTTACTGAATTAATGTCCTACTTATTTCAGGCTGCCTTTGATATTGGTTGGGAACAAATCTGATCTGGTGGAATATAGTAGTATGGAGACCATCCTTCCTATTATGAACCAATATACAGAAATAGAAACCTGTGTGGAGGTATGCCTGTGGGAAGGGGGGATTATGTGGGATGGTATAAATTTTCTGTTCTTTGTGAAGTCATATAAACCAAATAAAACAGAGAATTTAGGTCGGGTGGTGGTGTTGCAGAATTTGAAAGTTTTCCCCTTAAGCTAGATGGAGACATTGGTACTGTCTACAAAGAAAAATTTATTATTTAGTTTCTTCAAGGTATCTTTTTTTGTTTGTTTTCTTTTTATTTTTTTCTTTCTTTCTTTTTTTTTTTTTATTTCTCTATGTATCTTTTAAGCCTGTCCTGTAATTCACTTTGTAGATCAGGTTAGCCTCGAACTCACAGATCCACCTGCCTCTTCCTCCTGAGTGCTGGATTAAAGGCATGTGCCACCACTTCCTGGCTCTTCAAGGAATCTTACTCTTACCTTATTGCCTTCCCCCTCCCCCGACTAAGCTGAGTATATGTAGTAGGAGAAAATGAGGAAAACTCCTGAGAGTGGGAAGGGTTCCAAGGGAGGAATATTATATTGACACTTGAAAAAATTGTTTTTAGCTATCATAATTGATTTCAGAGTACAAAATTTAAAACTTTTGTTTTTTATTTTTATTTATTTTTTAGTGTTCAGCAAAAAACCTGAAGAATATATCAGAGCTGTTTTATTATGCACAGAAAGCTGTTCTTCATCCTACGGGGCCTCTGTACTGCCCAGAGGAGAAAGAGGTAAACCCCAGGCTATGTTCTGTGGGCCTGAATGATACAGTATGGTTGTGGGTTTTAGTAGTGTTTAGCATTTTATAAAGATGAAACTACTGAAGTTGAATTGTGTTGATTATTAAATTGTTAACTTGGGTGTTCTGGTTGTGTCTTCATTAAAGTTTCCAGTTTCAGTATTCTTTCAGGTAGTGCCATTGGCACACAGAACTGGTGACACTAACAAGGCAGCCAAGACTCGATTGTTTACTTTGCAACTATAAAATCTATGAATTTTCCTCTTAATTTTCTATTTATTTATGTTGTGGGGTCCATGTATGCCATGGCGTGCCTATAGAGGTAGGAGGACAGCTTGTGGGAGTCAGTTCTTTCTTTCTACTCTTTGGGTCGCATGTCAGGCTTGGTAACAAATATTCTTTACCCACTAATCCATCTCATCAGCCCTGAAAAATCTACGAATCTAAGCAAAAACTTGGGTAGTAATTTTGTTTGTTTTGTTTTGTTTCAGTTGATCTCAGGGCTTTGTGCATAGAAAGTGAGTGTGCTACCCCTGAGCTACCTTCTTGGACCTCTTATAGATTTTCGTCCTGTGTACATGTGATGCAACTTGGATATACTTTTTTAAAAATAATTTATTTATTTTTATTTTATGTGCATTGGTGTTTTTCCTGCATGTATGTCTGTGCGAAGGTATCAGAGTCCCCTAGAACTGGAGTTACAGACAGTTGTGAGCTGCCATATCGTTATTGGGTATTGAACCAGGGTCCTCTAGAAGAGCAGCCAGTGCTCTTAACTGCTGAGCCATCTCTCCAGCCCGGAAATACTTTCATAACTAAGAAATACAGTAATTCCACTGAGAAATACCCAGAATTTAATAAAATTTTGCAATAGATTTAAAACTGAGTTTTTAAAAGATATATAACACAAAGCTCACTTCTTTCATATATACTATTAAGTGATTTTTAGTATATTCAGAAAGTTACATGCCTCTTATATCCTTCCCCAGAAAAACCCTGTGGTCATTAGCAATCACTCCCCAGCCATCTCTGTCCCACCCTTGGCAACTGCTGATCTACTCTGTCTCTCTTGGATGGTCCCCAACGGTGGAGTCACCAATGAGTAGCTTTTATTTCTCTCTTCTTTCACCAGCACTGTGTGAGGTTCACTCGTGCTGTAGTGTGAATCAGTATTACTTTCTAGTTAAATAAAATGTCATATGGAGGGAACAACTCTTCATCTTTTTATCTTTTGATGTCTACTGAAATAGTTTCTTCCGTTCAACTATTGTGAATAGGCTGCTGTTCATGTTAACTTGTTCTTTTGTTGTTGTTGTTAAACTTGTTCTTCACATACAAGTTTTTTTTTTTTTTTGAAACACCTGTTTTTAGTTTTTTTTTTCAATCTATATGTACTGTTGGCATTGATGAGTAACAAGACCACTGTATGTTTAACTAAGGGAGGAACCGCCAGATATTCCCACAGTATCAGGTAATATTGTCCATTCCTACCTGCCATGTATAAAGATCCAAATTTTGTTTGTTTGTTTCTTTGTTTTGTTTTGTTTTGTTTTTCCAAGACAGGGTTTTTTGTCTCACTGTGTAGCTCTGTCCTGGTGGTATTTTCAATAGGCACTAACCTTGCCTAGTACAGTCTGGGGTTGTAAATTGGCATGGAAATTTAAAGCAGGTTCTTGTTGGTGCACAGCACAAATTAGTTATATATGGGATGGTAGTTTTTTTTTGGGGGGTGGGTTTTCATCTTCAGTTGTCTCTGATGTAGCTTATATGAAGATAATTGTTCTGTTAACTGAATATCACTCTAATTGCAAAAAAAAAATTGCAACTGTTTTGTTGGCATTCTGAATGCTTCTAAATAAATACAATTTTTTTTATTAAAAAAAGAACTACAAAAATAAAACCTAAAAAACTTGAGGCTATGTGAAGTCTCATTACAGATCAGCAATGATGTATAAGAATTTGCAGCTGATCTTCCCATAGAGAACACTGACTTTGAATCTTAAGTTAGTAAAATTTGATACATTCAGAAGAATTATTTTTTGTTTGTTTTTGAGAAAGGATTTCTCTGTAATCCTGGCTGTCCTAGAACTCACTCTGTATTCATGGCTGGCTTCAAACTCTAGAGACCCGCTTACCTCAGGAGTGCGTCACCACCACCCTGTGAATGCTATTTTTTCTAGTGACCTACATGACAAAATTATACTTACTTGTTACTACATTAACATTTTAATGTCAGTAAAAAATAAGGGAATTCATGCTATGTAAATAAACCCATGACATCCATATGATTCTGCATATTTGGCTCCAAAACTTAAAATGTTTACTATGTTGTCTTGACATAAAAGTTCTCACTCTTGGTAAATATAATTAGTCTTGAGTTATCCCTTAATCTGACTGTGGTTTCTCATTTTTTATTACTAATTTATGATTTCTTAAGTTTTTAAAAATTATTCGTTAACCTAGTGTTTCCTAGACTTGTCTCAACAAAGTTAACTGGTCAGAAATGTATTCCAGTCCAGTCCAGCTAGGATCTATATTTCATAGTCAGTGAAATTTTAAAAATATTATTATTATTATTATTATTATTATTATTATTATTATTTAAAAATATTTTTGAATTATAGAAATTTATTTCTGAGACCTTTACCCCAGGGATACATTGAATTCCCTATTAGGTGTTTTTTTGTTTGTTTGTTTTATTTTTTATTTTGTTTTATTATTTTTTTTAAAGACTTTATTTATTATGTATACAACATTCTGCTTCCATGTACATCTGCACACCAGAAGAGGGCACCAGATCTTATAACGGATGGTTGTAAGCCACCATGTGGTTGCTGGGAATTGAACTCAGGACCTCTGGAAGGGCAGTCGGTGTTCTTAACCGCTGAGCCATCTCTCCAGCCCCCTGTTTGTTTTATTTTTAAGACAGGATTTTTTGTGTAGTCCTGGTTGTCCTGGAACTCACCATAGCGTGCTGGAGTTAAAGATGTTTGCCACTACCACCTTAGTTTATTCTAAATTCTTTAACTGTTGCTCTGTTCTTAGGCCTGTTATTAGGCCTAATTTGCTGATCTCCTGTTCTGCCCCCAGTCCCTGAATAAAACCATCTGCTACTCTGTTTTCAGGTATATCTAATAAAATACCATATGAAATTTTTACTTTTAGACTTTATATTTTTTTTATATGTGTACATGCTTTAAGTCTAAGCTTTACCAGAATTTTTTTCCTTTACCAGAATTTTTTAAGCTTTTCCAGAATTTGTAATAATACTACGATGCCTATGAGTTTAATCACAGCACTCAGAAGCAGGTGGATATCTGAGTTGGAGGCCAGCCTGGTCTATAGAGTGAGTTCCAAGACAGCTAGGGCTCTGTAGACAGACCCTGTCTCAACAAACAAAACAAAAGAAATGTAATAATAGTAATTTGATGAAATATATAACTAACGATGTATATTTTCCATCAGAGTATGAAATGCTTCAGAAACTAAAATGCTCTAAGGTGTTTTTCCCCCACAAATATGTCTGTCTGCATGTGTATGTGTGTGGGTGAGTATGGAGGTCAGAGGATACATTTGGAGCTGGTTCTTTTCTTTCCATCATACTAGTCCTGATGATCTAACTCAGGTCGATGGACTTGTAGGCAGGCATCTTTACTGCTAAGCCATTTAAAATTCTGCAATTTGGTTTCATATTGCAGTCACAACTATTAACATTACCCTTTTGCTCCAGGTAGTCATAGGAAATGACATTATGAATTAATGAAAATGCTTTTTCATCCTGCCATTTTGTTTCTCTGATTCAAATGAATTCGTAAGCCTCTACCACCAGAAAATATATGTAAAACATAATAAGCACTCTCTTTTTTTTGGGGGGGCGGGCGGTTTCCAGACAGGGTTTCTTTGTGGCTTTGGAGCCTTTCCTGGAACTAGCTCTTGTAGACCAGGCTGGTCTTGAACTCACAGAGATCTGCATGCCTCTGCCTCCTGAGTGCTCGGATTAAAGGTGTGCGCCATAAAGAGATTATTACAGTTTGTATTGAATTTGACATACTCTTGCTGAGAGAGGGGAGAGGGCCAATAGGAATGAATCTACCTCCAAGTTTAAATAAACTTCAAAGATCTTCCTCCAAGTGTGATGGGCCATACTTTTAATCATAGCTCCTGGGAGACAGAGTCAGGTGGATCTCTGTGAGTTCAAAGCCAGCCCAGTCTACATAGCAGGTTCTAGACAGCCAAGAAGACATAGAACAAATCTTGTTGTTGTTGTTGTTATTGTTTTTGTTTTTTTGAGACAGAGTTTCTCTGTATTGCTAGGAACTCGCTCTGTAGACCACACTGACCTCGAACTCATAGAGATCCGCCTGCCTCTGCCTCCCAAGTGCTGGGATTAAAGGCATGTGCCACCAACACCCGGCCAACATAGAGAAATTCTGTCTCCAAAAATCTTCCTGATAATTTTTTTCCCTGAATAGTGTTGGGAATTGAACCCATAGCCTTAGGCAATGCTACACAAGCATTCTACCACTGTATTGTATTACTAGTCTCTAGAAGTCTTTTGTTAAGCATTGTTGGCAATGATTACCTTGTAGATAAGTATCAGTCTTTGTGTGCGGTGTGTGTGTGTGTGTGTGTGTGTGTGTGTGTGTGTGTGTGAGTTGATGTGACCAGAGATTAATGTCAGGGTGTTTTTCCTCAATCACTTTTCCATCATACTTTTTGAGACAGGCTCTCTAACTTGCTGTTTCATCTAGTCTGGTTGACCAGCATGCCCAGGGATCTGCCTGTCTGTACTCCAGCATCAGGTTTATAGACATGGGCCACTATGCCAGGCTTTTATGTTGCTTTTAGAGATCCAAACTCAGGTCCTCATGCTTCTGCTAAAAGTACTAACTGAACTATCTCTCTAGCCCCATGAACCTTATTCTTAGGTATTCTATCCTTTATATATCCTAAAATAATTAAGGAAGTTGCCACAGTGAATTTCTGTCACCATTACTTACATGTTTTACAGATCTCAGAAAGACAATATTCATTTTCAAAATATAAGTAATCTTACAATAGCAAGATAGTAAAAGTCATATACTTACTAACCATGATATTTTGTAACCTTATTTGTGAATAATTTCATTTTTTACCTAACTTTTACATATGCATGGAATAAATAAAAATATTGAGTTCTATTGGTTGAGATTATACCTCAGTGCTTGGTTAGTAGGAGGTCCTGGGTTTGATGCCCAGCATGTTTGTTTATTTATGCACTCTTTCACACGCACAGAACCAGGTATGATGGCATTTGCCTGTAATCCCAGCCTGAGCTATATTATTGTAAGACTAAGTCTCAGCAAAAAGGGGGAGGGGAGAGAGAGAGAACACAGGAGAATATAATAAAAATCATGGGCATTGCTGGTCATACTGGGGCAGGCATGCAATCCCAGTTACTTGGGAGGCTAAGCTTGGGCAAATAAGTGAGGCCATGGCTCAAAATACAAAGTAAAAGTAAAAATAAGATGGCTGGGTAAAGTGCCTGCTGCATAAGTTTCTTGAGAACCCACCTAAAGCTGGATGCAGTATCCTGTGTCTATAATCCCAGAGCTCCTCCGTAAACATGAGAAGGTGAGACAGGAGACTCCCCATAAGCCAGCAATAGATCTTGTCTCATATTTAATCTGCTTTCAAAGGGAAAACATAACAACCAACTCTACTTGCCTTGGATTTCCTAAGCAATGAACTTTTACAACCTAAGCTAATGCAAAGCTGTAATTTTAAATGACTACTCTTCTATTCCTCTGAGCCAGACTATGCTCATGTATTATTTGCAGCAAATACAGAGTTGAAGGGAACTTCCTACAATTGACCATAATGGCTGCAAACAACTATTTACGGATATTAATTAGTTGGTGAAGAGTAATGTTTGTGGGGTTGGGGATTTAGCTCAGTGGTAGAGCGCTTGCCTAGCAAGCTCAATGCCCTAGGTTTGGTCCTCAGCTGGGGGTGGGGGACACACAAAACTTAGCATTGCTATCAGGTAGCACTCCTTTATGCATAGTTTCAATCCTCTGTACTTAATTAAATGGCTGAGCTTCAGTTCATTTCTTCATGTTGTCAGTTTTTGATGCTAAATAAAAACTATTAGAAGTTTTCTCAGTATTGTGAAAATTATATTTTAAATTATTTTTTCTTTTCTCTCTGTTGTGTAGATGAAACCAGCTTGTATAAAAGCCCTCACTCGTATATTTAAAATATCTGATCAAGATAATGATGGCACTCTGAATGATGCTGAACTCAATTTCTTTCAGGTAACTGTGTTTAGCTTCAGATTAAGAATGATAGGATTGGGGCTGGAGAGATGGCTCAGAGGTTAAGAGAACTGACTGCTCTTCCAGAGGTCCTGAGTTCAATTCCCAGCAACCACATGGTGGCTCACAACCATCCATTATGAGATCTGGTGCCCTCTTCTGGTGTGCAGATATATATGGAAGCAGAATGTTGTATACATAATAAATAAATAAAATCTTAAAAAAAAAAAAAAAGAATGATAGGATTAACAGTATGCCTCTAAGCAACCTGTTCTCGTATCTGTAAAACTATCACATCCAACTATTAAATCTTATGATGAAAAGCCTATTATGCCTAGGAACTGAGACTTTGATAATTTGAAGTTGTGGTATTCAGTGGGTGTATGAGGAATGACGAACTCTAAATGACTGTGCCTTCTGGATTTTGTATTATGTGACCACACAAAGACTTTTATGTTTCTGAACCAGAATGAGGAGTGCTGCAAGGCTTCTTTCTTCAAGGATGACGTCCTTCCCTTAGATAACAAGAAGTAGGGATGGCATTTACTTGTTTCTTTTGGGTGTAGCACTTTGATTTTGTAGATGAGCATTTTTACATTATTTGTGGATTATATTCTGGTTTGTTTTTAAATTTATTTTATTATTATTTTTTTTTTTTGCTAGAGAATTTGTTTCAACACTCCTTTAGCTCCTCAAGCTCTGGAAGATGTCAAGAATGTGGTTAGAAAGCACTTAAGTGACGGTGTGGCTGACAGTGGGTTGACGCTGAGAGGTAGGGCATGGTTTCTTTATCACCTTCTTCCCAGGTGCCTTAGGGCCTTACTCACGTAGGGCATATACCGCATTCATTGCATTTCTAGCCCATTTCCCACCCCTATAAATTTAATATTTTCAATAGCATAATTTATACATTAAGGAAATGTTAGTATTGGTGGGAGATTATTATCTTTACTTTCAATATAAATTAGAGGTAGGGTAATTGGTTAGATCAGATATGCAGAGAGCTATGTGATGGAAAGATATACATGTAATAAGCATCTTAGTACTCTTAAGCCATCTTTAGGCAAAAGTTACTTTTAGGGACTGTGTATGTGAGTCAGATTTACCAATTATAGTGTTTCTTGTTAAGTATATTGCTGAGTTATGATATAATTAAAAAATGAAATTAAAGCCCAGAATTTTCCATTATAGAAGTAAGCCAGGGGACCTGTACATCATTTTCATTTGTTTTTACCATATAGCTCTGGCTGTCATTGTGTTTCTGGGGATGTAAATTTGTCCCTTTTGTCCATTGCTTGCTCTTGCAGAGCTGGGTGTTTATGGGAAATGAATCTGAAATGAGCTTCTTCAGACACTGAGGGACTGTGTTTTGTTCCTCACTGTGAAACTAGTTCATAAGTTCTCACAAATCCAGCTCACATTGTATGCTTTCCTCCCTGCCACAGTTAACAGTCTTCACATCAAGTGTATTTACTGATTTACTTTATTTCAGGTTTTCTCTTTTTACATACACTTTTTATCCAGAGGGGGAGGCATGAGACAACTTGGACTGTCCTTCGACGATTTGGTTATGATGATGATCTGGATCTGACGCCCGAGTATTTATTCCCCCTGTATGTACCTCAGCTTTCTAATTTATTTCACTTGCCAAGTATTTTTTAAGTTGTATTTAGTTTATGCATAGTTTTTGTTAAGTGCCTGATGACAAATTTAGAATTATAGAAAGTTACTCAAGTTTGGCATTCTGAACATTTTGGACCAGAGAGTTTTTTGTCTCTCTATTATGTAGTTTCAGAGCCTGTCCTAGAACTTGCTCTGTAGACCAGTCTGGCCTCAGATCTACCTGCCTCTGCCTCTGCCTCCTGAGTGCTGAGATTAAAGGCATGTTGTAGATGTAGGTTCTGTCCTGCCTGGTCCTGCAACTGTGCAGTCCCATATAAACACACTGAGGCTTATATAAATTATAAACCATTTGGCCAATGGCTCAGGCTTCTTACTGACTCTCTCTTAATTATTAACCCATTTCTATTAAACTATGTATTGCCACCTATAATGCTCTGGCATGTTACTCCTTTGGCAGATACATAGCATCTTTCTGGCAGCTGTCTCTCTGTTTTCTTCTTCCTAGTCTGGTAGCCCTCCCTATACTTCCTGCCTGGCTACTGGCCAGTCAGCATTTATTCACCAACCAATTAGAGAAACATGTATTCACAGCATACAGAAGGACATCCCCCATCAACGTGTACCACCACACCCAGCCAGAAAATTCTTTATTGTAGATATTGTCTTGTCCTCTCCGCTATAGGATGATGAGATCCTTAAATGACAGAAACACCTCTTCAGTTTTGACAAGCAAAAAACAACCTCTCATAAGTAAAATCATCCACTTGAGAGCCAGTACATAATAATCACTTTTCTTTTTTTTTTTTTTTTTTTTTTTTTGGATTTTCGAGACCGGGTTTCTCTGGGTTTCTCTGTGTAACAGCTATGGCTGTTTTGTAGACCATCCCACTTTGTAGACCAGGCTGGCCTTGAACTCACAGTGATACACCTGCCTCTGCCTCTGAAGTTCTGGGATTAAAGGTGTGTACCACCACCACCTGACTACTTAGTTGAAATTTTTTTCTTGTTTTAAGGTGGGTTCTCACTGTGTAGACCAGGCTGGCTTTGAATTCACAGAGACCTGTCTGTCTTTGCTTTCCAAGTGTTGGGATTACACATTTGGGTAACCATACCCAAATTTATGAATCGTTTAAAAAATTTTTATTGAGAACAGAGGGGTAAAAAAGATACTGGGTAATCATATTTTTAGAGTCAAAAGTTGAGAAAAATGTTAGTTAACATTATTCCCTTTTTTATTATTTCTTCCCCTTCACTTTTATGGCTTTTTTTCTAAAGATGTATTTATTGATTGATTATGCTTACAGCGTTCTGCCTGCATGTATACGTGCAGGCCAGCAGAGGGCACAGATATCATTACAGATGGTTGTGAGCCATCATGTGGTTGCTGGGAATTGAACTCAGGACCTCTCGAAGAGCAGTCAGTCCTCTTAACCTCTGAGCCATCTCTCTAGACCTATGGCTTGTTTTTAATGCACATTAAGTACTTTTTCCTAAACAACTGATGTATGTGTAGTGATTTTCCTTTGGCAGTGCTGTTTGAGTCTTATGTGTTTAAATGTGGGCTCAATGATGCCCTTCCAGGAGAGAATGCCTGGTCTTGGGTGCCTCTTCTCTACTTTTGGGAATTGTGGTCTGTCACAATTGGGCCTTGACATCTTCTGGCCTTTCTTACGTTTTAGTCATATATCACCTTCAATGTGCCAAGGTCTAAGAATTGTATCTCCAACTATCTGTGCAATGGTTCAGAAAATGTTCTTCTAACCTCCATTCCCAAGGAGCCAGAGCATTTTTCTCATTTGATTATTGGCTCATTACTATGTTCTAGGTTGCAACTTAAGGAACTGAATGATGGCTAAAGTTCAACAGTTTTTCAATACATATGTACTAAATAAATGAGTTTATCCTAGGACCCGTCACAGAATTTTCTTTCCTATGCTGTTTATATGAGTGCATACATTCTTCAGGAGATTGATTATTATAATTATTGTGGGGGATGCATATGTGTGAGTGTAGCCTTAGAAGAGGACATTGGTTGTCCTATTCCATCACTCTCCTACTCACTCTTTTGAGACACCCTGACTGAACCTGGAACAACTCTGGCAGCCAACAAGCCCCCTTGATACTCTATGAAACATCTCATCCCCCACCCTAGCCTTGGGGTTATGGGTGTTTATGTTACCCCCATGTTACAGCCAACTTTTTATGTGGGTGCTAGCAATTTAAATCCACTGCGTTGCCTCTTCAGTTCCAATCACTTAATTTTTTTTTGTATGGATATTTTGCATGTATAAATGTCTATGCACAATATATATGTCTGGTGCCAATAGAGGTTAAAAAAGGGCATCTGATTCCCCCAGAACTGGAATTACAGCAGATAGTTATGAACCACCATGTTGGTGCTGGAACACAAAGTAGGATCCTCTGGAAGAGCAGCCAGTATTCTCACTTGAAGAGCTGTCTCTCTAGTCCCCAATTATTACATTTTTGTGTGTTTTTGGTTTTTTCCCAGGCAAAGTTTCTCTGTGTAACAGCCCTGGTTGCCCTGGAACTCACTCTGTAGACTCAAACTCACAGAGATCTGCCTGCCTGTGCCTCACAAGTGCTGGGATTAAAGGTGTGCACCACCACTGCCTAGTTTATTACCCTTTTAAGAAGTGGCTTTTCAGGGCTCGAGAGATGGCTCAGGAATTAAGAATGGTGCTGCTCCTGCAGAAGACCTACCTGAGTTCAGTTCCCAGCCTTTATATTGGGTGACTCATAACTGCCTATAACTCCTCCTCTATGGAATCCTAACATCCTCTTCTGGCTTCTACAGGTACCTGCATTCACATGCCACATACCCACATACAGACACACATCTTGTCCTGTAATTGTGGTTCACGTCTCACTTGAATATATAATTCTTAGAATTAAGGAGCTGTAAGTATAACAAACCAAAACAATAACTAATAGTGCAGAAGAGGGGGAAGTCTGATTCAGTGTTAGTGACAACACAAATGAGCATGGAGGTTCCTCAGAAACCTAAGAATAAAGTTTTGAATGACCTGTATGACCCAACATTTTCACTGATATCATATGTAATAGAAATGGAATCATCAGAGAGATACTGAATTTCCTGGTTTGCTGCAACACTGGTCGTTAGAGTCACAATACAGAGTGGGTGAATAAACAGTTCTTTAAGTTGTGGCTGGGTAGCTCAGCAAATAAAGGTGCTTCTCAAGAAAGCTTCATACTTGAATTCAAACCCCAGAATCCACTTAAATGTTGAAAGGATGAATTCACTCCACAAAGTTGTCTTCTGACCTCCACAACATATAATAAATAAAAAGGTGCTATATGAATATAATTCCTTAGTGGAATGTTTATTTGACCATAAAAAAAGGTCAGAAAATTTTTATTTATTTTTTTGTTTCTTAAGACAGGGTTTCTCTTTGTACAACCTTGGCTGTCCTAAAACCAGCTCGCTTTGTAGACCAGGCTAGCCTCAAACTCATTGAGATCCACCAGCTTCTGTCTTTTGAGTGCTGAGATTAAAGGCATGTGTTACCGTAGTCCAATAATTAAAAATTTTTTAAGGTTTTTTTTTTTCATGTTTGTGAGTGTTTATACGTATGTAAGTAAATCATGAGTGTGCCTGGTGCCCATGGAGGGCAGAGGAGAGTGTTGAGTTCCATGGAACTGGAGTTACAGAGAGTTGTGTTCAGCCACATAGTTGCTGGGAATTGAACCTAGGTCATATATAAGAATAGCCACTGGGCTCCCCCCACACACAGGGTTTCTCTGTGTAACAGTCTTGGCTGTCCTTGAACTCAGTTTGTAGACCATGCTGGCCTTGAACTCACTAAGATCCCTCTGCTTTTGCACCCCACCCCAAGTGCGGGGATTAAAGGCGTGCGCCACTATTGCCGGGCCCCAAACAGGGCCAAAGCCACTGTTTTTAAACTGTTGACCCATCTCTCTAGCCCCAAAATGATAGATGACATCTTGTTATCTGTGATAAGGTGAATAGAACTTGTGGATACTAAGTTCAGTGAAATAGGCAGACAAAGAAGACAAATGCATGTCCTTACTCATTTGCAGTTGTTTAAATATTTGATCAGGAAGTGAGTACTAGGAGAGGAGAGTGAGTGGACAGAAGTTACTAATGGGCATCAACCTGCAGTGCCATGAGAAAAAATTCTGATGTCTATTTAGTATGGCAGTGTAACTATAGTTCTTTTTTTTTTTTTTTTTTTTTTGGTTTTTTGAGACAGGGTTTCTTTGTGTAGCTTTGGAGCCTATCCTGGCACTCGCTCTGGAGACCAGACTCGCCTTGAACTCCCAGAGATACAACTGCCTCTTCCTCCCGAGTGCTGGGATTAAAGGCATGTGCCACCAATGCCTGGCTACTATAGTTCTTAATAATTATACATTTGAAAATCTTTGGAGCTGGGCAGTTGTGGTGCACACCTTTAATCCCAGCACTCAAGAGGCAGAGACAGGCAGATCTCTGGGAGTTCGAGGCCAGCCTGGTCTGCGGAGCGAGTGCCAGGACAGCATCCAAAGCTATAGAGAAATCCTGTCTCCAAACTCAAAAGGAAAGAAAGAAAGAAAAGGAAAGGAAGAGAGAAAATCCCTAGAGAAAAGATGTCTAAGGGTGTCTAACATGTAGACATGATGGTATTTGAGGAGATAGAAGTACTAATTATTATGATTTTATCATATATTTTATACAGATAAGTAATTTTTTCCTCACTATGTAGCCCTTACTGGCCTGGAACTTACTATGTAGTCCAGGCAGGCCTTGAATTCACAGAGATCTGCCTGCCTCTACCTCCTTGGTGCTGGGATTAGACATGTACACCACTACACTTAGCACAGATATGAATTTATAATACTGTAGTCTATAAATAAACACAAATATTCCATGACAGTTGTCTTAGGGTTACTATTTCCTGTGATGAGACACCATGGCTAAAGCAACTTGACAAGGAAGAAGTTTATTGGCTTTCTCTTCCACACTACAGTTCATCTTCAATGGAAGTCAGGATAGGAACTCAAGAATGGCTTTAGCTGATGCAGAAGTCATGGAGGAGTGCTGCTTACTGGCTTGCTCACCATGGCTTGCTCAGTCTGCTTTCTTATAGAACTCAGGATCACCAGTCCAGGGGTAGCCCCACCTACAATGGATTGGACCTTCCCCCATCCATCACTAATTAAGAAAATTCTCTGTAGTTTTGCCTATTGCCTGGTCTTATGGAGGCATTTTTCTCAATTGAGGCTCCCTCCTCTCCAATAACTCTACTTCGTCAAGTTGACATAAACTAGCCAGCACACCTAAAAATAAAAATTAGTCAGGCTTGTTGGTATACTCCTATCATCCCAGCACTTGGGAGGCTGAGACATGATTCAGAGGTAAAGGAAAAGTTCAGCACAAAGGAAATTTATTTACCCAAGAAGGCAAAGGACAGACAGGAGAGACAAAGACAGGAGATAGAGAAGGGAGAAGGGGAAGGGTAGAGAGGAGATGGATGTGGCACATGGGAAAATGGCAGTTAACAAAGGTACAAGGGGAAACCTTGTGTTAGGATGAAGTATCTAATTTTAATTGGGCAAGTTAATTAGGAGAGACAAAGGATGCTTCTGATTGCTGGACGCCAATACTTTGATAGCTGGACCTTGGTAGTCAGCCTTAGGAGGAGGAAGTAGCCAAATAAGGGAATAGACCTTGGTGGCTAGCTTTAGGAATGTAATCTAAAGTTTTTTATCAAGGCAGAAGAAACTAGGGAGAAGGGCAAGACCTGCCAGAGCCACATGCTCAAGTGAGCTAGTGTCCCTTTACAGAGTCCAGGGTCATTTTGGTTTGTGTAGTTTTTGTAGCGCTGGTTGTCCTGAAACTAGCTCTGTAGATCAGGCTGGCCTTGAACTCACAGAGATTCATCTGTCTCTGCCTCCTGAGTGCTACAAAGTCTTGTGCCACAACAACCGGCAGATTTTACACTTACCTTATTATATCTGAACAAATGTACAGGTGGGTTTTGTCTTAACAGTGACATCTTGTCTCAAAAATGAATAAATAATGAAAAATTCCAAGACAGTAAATAAACAGAAATAATTTTTTAAAATTCTAAAGTAGGAAGCATATTTTGTTATTTCTCTAACACCCAACTTACTACATTTGACATTTGTTAAATACTATCTCCATATTTCAATTCATTACAATACCACCATTAATATTAAGCCCATAGTTGTGACTTACACCATTGAATTTTTTTTTTCTTTGTTTCTTTTGTTGTTATTTTTCGAGACAAGGTTTCTCTGTGTAGCCCTGACTGTCCTGGAAATCACTCTAAGACTAGGCTGGCCTGGAACTCAGAGATGTGCCTACCTCTGCCTCCTGAGTCCTGGGATTAAAGTCATGCACTGCCACTGCCCTGCATGAATATTTAATATATATTTTAAAGATTTATTTATTATTATGTATATAGTGTTCTGTCTGTATCCCTGCAGGCCCCAGGAAGGCACCAACATGTGATTTCTGGGAATTGAATTCAGGACCTCTAGAAAAGCAGCCAATGCTCTTAACCACTGAGCCATCTCTCCAGCCCCTACTTATGTATTTTTTAAGAATTGTTTATTCATGTATTTTTATGTATATGAGTGCTTTGTTTTCATGCATACCAGAAGGGGGACCACATCTCATTACAGATGGCTGTGAGCCTCCATGTGGTTGCTGGGAATTGAACTCAGGACCTCTGGAAGAGCAGTCCAGTGTTCTTAACTGCCAAGCCATCTCGCTAGCCCTGTGTCTATATTTATAAGTGTATAAAAAATATAATCTACTACAAAACAATGAAAAATCTGTGAATGCTTAAAACTAGAAAGACAATTGCCTTTATGTTCATTACTTACACTTAGTCCTTCCTCATCCCCTAATACTGACCATTTCTTGTTCTTCTTTCTGCATATTATATTGTACCCACTGGTACATTTGCTTATATATATAAGCAAATAACATATATATTATCTTAATATATATGTATATATAATATATATATTATTTGCATATATATTAGGGTAAGAATTCAATAATGAAAGTGTAATATCTGATGGTTGTAGTGGTGCATATCTTTAATCCTAGCATTTGGGAGACAGGTAGGTGGATCTCTGTCAGACCAGCCAGGTCTACAGAGCTAGTTTCAGGATAGCCAGAACTACACAAAAAAATTCTGTCTCAAATAACAGCCAACCAACCAACATCAAAAAACATTTGTCTTTTTATCTGTGTCCTGGGGATGGAACTCAGGTTCTGATGCTTTTATGACAAACATTTTACTACTGAAATATTTTCCTAGCCCCTACCTTTAATATTCATTTATTTGTGTGTATATCATATGTGTACACTTGCTTATATATGTGTACATGTTTATGAGGGCAGGTGTGTGTCATGTTACATGTTTGGAGGTCAGGAAACAACTTTAGGTATTAGTCTTTACCATATACTTTTTAAAATTAAAATGTATCTTTTTTTGTTTTTTAGTACATTTATTTATTTAGTTTGTTAGTTAATTAATGTGAGCAGGGGATTACAGACAGCTGTAACATCTTTTGGCCCCTGTTTTATTCTTGTTTTTTCTGTTTTCAAGACAGGAGTTCTCTGTATAGCCTAGGCTATCCTAAAACTCATTCTGTAGACTAGGATGGCCTCAAAGATTCACCTGCCTCTGCTTCCTGAGTGCCGGGACTAAAGACAATCAGTTTGCATTGGCTCCTGTTTTTTTAAGCATGGATATTAGGGATCCAAACTTAGGTTGTCAGGCTTGCTTAGCAAGTGCTTTTATCTGCTAAGTCATCTCCTGGCTCCTTTTTAAAATTTTCTATTGTTTGAGATTGGGTCTGAAGTTGTACAAGCTGGCAGAAGGTGCCCTTGAATGCCTGATCCTCCTGCCTCCACCTCTGGAGTGCTTGGATTATAGACATGTGCTGTCACTCCCAGTATATATTGTTTTGGAAATCAAGCTGAGGGCTTTGTGCATAGACAAGCATTTTGCCAGACGACCAGGTTGTTATTTCAACCTGCCCTAATAACATTGGGAAGAATATGTATATGTTGCTTTGGAATGAACATTATTAATAAGTCTTCTGAGGAATGCCATAATCACCCCAGAAACTTTTCCCTAAGAATGTCTGTCTATGTGACTTCAGATCCTACAAAAAATAGTTACTTCAATTTTTTTATTCATTTCTTGTTAAATTTTAATCTTTGATTAATGATTTATTCTTAAATTATTTCGTCAACAGGCTAAAAATACCTCCTGATTGTACTACTGAATTAAATCATCATGCATATTTGTTTCTTCAAAGCATCTTTGACAAACATGATTTGGTAAGCCTTTGCTTACAGTTTTACAAAGTACATAGTCAAATACTTTTCTTTTGGGGGAGGGGGTTGTTTCTAGACAGGGTTTCTTTGTGTAACAGTATTGGCTGTCCTGGAACTCACTCTTCAGACCAGGGTGACCTTGAACTCACAGAGATCCACCTGCCTCTGCCTCCCAAGTCCTAGGATCAAAGGTGTGTTCCATCATGGCTGTCAAAATTCTCAAAGCATGCCCGGCTCAAATATTTTTCTGTGAGTGATTTTCTTTTATCCTTTGAGCTGCCTGCTGCTTATGATATGTCACCCAAACTTTAAGCTTTTTAATTCAGTGATCTTATTGTTTTATTAGGACTAAAAATATCTAGTTTTCTGGTAAGTAGTAGACCTTCATAATGTGAAGAAATATCTTTTGTTTTGTTTTGTTTTTTTGAGACAAGGTTTCTCTGTATAACAATCCCTGCTGTCCTGGAACTCCACTCTGTAGACAAGACTGGCCTTGGACTCACAAAGATCTGCCTGCCTTTACCTCCTGAGTAATTGGATTAAAAGTTTGCAAGTGGTGACTGCTTGGCTTGAGGAAATGTCTTAACAAAATATATAAAAGTTCTTATTTTAGGCAGGGTGGTAGTGACACACACCTTTAATCCCAGCACTGTCTTGAAAAACAAAACAAAAACAACCACACACAAAAAAATTCTAAGTGCTGGGATCAAGGGTGTGTTACACCATGGCTGGCAAAATTCTCAAAGCATAATTTTACTAGGCTAGGTAGCTTGTTTGAGGATTTTTCTCTCAGTGACCTGAATGTCATGTTACTTCCTTATGTGTCTTCAGGACAGAGACTGTGCTTTGTCGCCTGATGAACTTAAAGATTTATTTAAAGTTTTCCCTTACATACCTTGGGGACCAGATGTGAATAACACAGTTTGCACAAACGAAAGAGGCTGGATAACCTACCAGGGCTTCCTTTCCCAGTGGACGTGAGTATAGAGCTCATCTCTTTGTTCTACAGTCATAGTTACTTTTAAATTATAGTGGTGTTGTACTTGTCATTTTGTATCTCTGTTAAGTTTAGCAAATCCTTCAATCCTAGCTTCCTCTAACCAGCATGTCTCTGAGAAGAACTGTGGAAGTTTTATAAGTTTTTCAAGAAGGGGCTGTTTTCTTCCCATGATGTTGTAGGAAATAGCATTACATCAAAATGAAACTAAATTTTGTACTTTTTGTTTGATTAAGCACACTGGAGCTTTTGTTACTATTCACAGTCCTTCAGCAAATGGGGAGAAGCATATTTTACTGGGCACTGGAGTTTGGAGTTTGCATTCTTTTTAAAATGATTTTTAATTAATTCTCTGTAAAACTTAATGAGGATATATCTAAAACCTACTTAGAGCATGGTTGGCATTGTGCCAAGAGCATTAAGGGAATTCTCTGTTCTTCATGATGTCATCATTACTTTAGCATTGCTGAGAAAAGCTTCTTTTTTCCATAGAGGAAGTAGATGTATTAGGAAAGCCAGGCTTCACCTCAAGGAAGGTACCTGAGGCAGACTTTTCAACATTTTTTCTCTCTCTTTCCCTCTTCTCTCTGCACCACCTCTCTCCCTCTCCCACTCTTCTCCCTTCCTTCCCTTCCCCCTTCCTACCCATCTCCCTCCTTCCTGCCCACTGTCTCTCCCTTTTCGTACTTTTTTTTCTTGGTTGTAATTTTACTTTTCAACAACTGAGCCATCCAGTCCTCTCTCCCTTTTCTGAGTCCAGGTCTTAGCTGTCATAAGCTGTCCTGGAACTTACTATGTAGGCGAGATTGGCTCTTAACTCCTAATCCTCCTGCCTTTACCTCATAAGTAACTAGGATTTCATACTCATTTTATGTGCTGTTAGCGATCAAACTATCAAGTGAGCTACATCCCAAACTCTCCCACCCCCCAAGTACATAAGAAGAACCAATTTCGGGTACTCTCAGGATATATTTTTTTGCTTTTCTGTGAAACCTTTTCTTATCTGCTTAGTTTTTGTCTGGTCAGTGTGTATAGGATATTATGTTAGCCTGGGAAGCAGATACTATAATGTATCTGTGTTGTAGGTTGTAACCAGCATTTATCTGTACAGCAGCTCATTGCCCAGGCTTGCTTCCTCTGGCAGGTGGAATACAGGAATTCACCTTTATCCTGTATTTTCCACAGGAATGGCAGTATAGGAAAAGTTATGGTTGGATACTGGGGAGACAGCTCAGTTGGTAATACACTTAGAAGGACCTGAGTTTTATTTTAAGGACCAGTGTGAAAAAAGCACAGATATACCATGTCCTTATCATTCCCTCAGGGAAGGTGGAGCCAGGCAGATAGATTCCTGAACCTCATCTGCCCTCAGCTTATCTTTCTTGGGGAGTTCCAGACTAGAGAGAGACTATCTCAAAAAACAAGGTAGACCTCTCCCAAGAAATGATACCAAAGATTGTCCTGTGACCTGCACAGATGTGAATACCCACTTTTATATTTACGTACATACAGACACATACACACAGAGTCATAGTTGGACACATAAGACAGTAGAGAAGCCTGGCAAATATTATCTGAAACCTAACAGTGGGTAATTTTTTTTTTGAGTTATTGGAATTTTTTTCTGTGAATGTTCATTTAGGACATAAGCCTTGTAAACTTCCTGGTTTTAGGCTCACAACCTACTTAGATGTACAGCGTTGCCTGGAGTATTTGGGCTATCTAGGCTATTCCATACTGACGGAACAAGAGTCTCAAGCTTCAGCTATTACAGGTAAGTATATATGGATTCCATTTAGCTCATGACTATGATTTTTTTTTTTAACTTCAGTTTAGGGGGAAGGGAGTATAGCTCAGTTGATAGAGTGCTTGCCTAGTGTGCATGAGGGTCTTATCCCTGGTGCTGGAGGCAGACAGATCTCTGTGAGTTAGAGGCCAGCCTCATCTATAGAATCTATAGGACAGCCTGTGCTATATGAGACCCCTCTCTCAAAATAAATAAATAAATAAATAAATAAATAAAAATGAAAGATGCAGGATCTGAGCAGATGGCTCAGTGGTAAAGAGTTCTGGTTGTTCTTACAGAGGACCTATGTT